CGGTGTCAGGTAGCCTCCGGCGGCAGTATGGACAGGCCCCGCCCCTGGTGTCAGGCAGCCTCCGGCGGCAGTACGGACAGGCCCCGCACCTGGTGTCAGGTAGCCTCCGGCGGCAGTATGGACAGGCCCCGCCCCTGGTATCAGGTAACCTCCGGCGGCAGTACTTTTGGCTTCCGCGCGGCCTGGCACACCTGGGCGTTCGTGGAACGCAGAAACTCATCTCCCAGCGCTTTGTACCGGCACAGGTCATCTTCATCTTCGTCACCGACTTGGTGGCGCGTTTTGGAGTACCGGCGCAGGTCATCACCGAACACGGTGCACAGTTCGAGTCCGGCCTGTGGCAACACCTGTCGGCGCTCCTTGGCTGCATTCGGCACCGCACCACCAGCTACCACCCGCAGAGCAACGGCCAAGGTGGAAAGGCTTCACCGACATCTGAAGTCAGCTCTGCGGGCGGGAATCCTGCGATCCGCTGGACCAGCCTCCTGCCACTGATCCTGCTCGGCGTGTGCTCAGCGCTCAAAAAGGCATGGGAACTCGTTTCGCACATCCTGTGGAACTCGTTCATGGCACGACTTTGAGGCACCCAGGATAGTTTTCCACCCACCAACTCAGGGCAGCGCCGCTGAACCCTGCGTCTTACCCATATTGTCATCCTTTTTACTCACATTGTCATCCATGACGAGCAAAACTGGATCATCTACCAAAGGCTTCATATGCTTAAGAAAGCTAGTCGAAGGATTTCTTGAATATGACACTCTGTATTCATGCGGAGGTATGGTACCCGCAGGCCTGTCCCCGGTGCCACGCCGTATTCAATATTTTTGTTCTCACGAGCTGGTGGGGAAATCATCATCGGCTGAACGAAGTTGCCGCCGGCGGACATGCACACAACCGCCGTGGTAAGCTGTCCCCGCTCTGCTGAGGCTACCCTCTCAATCTGCTTTTTATCTTTGGGGGAGGACCTTGCTTAGTTTTGCCTGTACTATTGTTATGCCTGTTTCATCAATATTGGATATTTTGCGCGGATCGGTGATGCCATGGCGTACCTGTTCCAACAAATCGAAGAGCTTGTCGAGGGCAATCTTCTTAAATTCGCGGACACGTGCCATAGACTTGGCCTCTGGCGTGCGCAACATCAGGTCTTTGTTCTTCTTCATGAAGCCGCCCAACCAATCCTTTCCGGCCATGTCCGCTTTGGACGTATGGGGTATGCCATTCTTTTCGGCATGCTGGCGTGCCAAGCTTCGCACATTCGATGGGGCTAGGCCGTAGAAGATACTCTCTGAAAACAGCATGTGATCTTTCAAGGCACTTCCTTCCGATGAGGTGAACACTTCCTTCTTGGGCCCCACAGTCCCTTTGAGGGGACACTTGCCAGAAGGCGACGCTGAGTGACGTGCTGGGTACTCCGTGCCAGACAGCCACCTGCTTTACGCTGCTCCCCCTCTGGCGGGTGTGACAGCCGCTTGCATACTCCCCCTGCTCCACTCTCCTCGAGTCGTCTTTCGCTTATAGATTCGGGTCATAATGTCTGCAGGGAGGAAAAATGAAGGGCTAGGTAAGGCTATGAGACGAGGGTAATATAATATCCACATTCCGAGCACCCAGGGGCCTGAGGCGGTAGACGTCGTTACAGGTACTTGACTCGTCGGAGAGCATGGCGCTGGGAGAGGGGAACGCCATGATGCTTCTTCGCATCGCTCACGGCTCGGGTGCGATAGGTGAGTATCTCTCTGGAAACACTATGTGGCAACAAATGATGCACTTAATGGTCACCTTGATCTAGCAAGACAATAAAATTCCCATTACAAATCCCATAAAGTTCCCATTACAGCAATATGAAACACGATAATTCGGTTATTTACAGACAAATTCAACACTAACCGAAGGTGCGGTCTAAAAAGCGATATGGGACAAGACGGACATCTTATATGTTTTTGTCCGTATTACCCATCTCCTTTCACAGACCAAACGGACAATTCACCGGACGCCGTATTGGTAGGGCTTCTGCCAGCCATTCATAGTAAACATAGATCGTGCGAGGCATCGCCGGCCTAAAGCTAACCTTTCTTGACTTCACTGTAGATTAGCAAGACCCTAGATAAGCCGATGAAAAAATATTCATTTGGAAGATACCCAATAAATGTATCGCTTTTTAAGCAAAACCCCGCCGCCCACCTTCGCGTGGCAACGCATCGACAATAAGGGATGACAGAGGGCCGTGGTTCATGAATTTGGCGGTGGTGGCGCTAGTAGTTGAGCTTGTAGAGGGAGTGTCCGTCTTTCCCACCCTGGTCGTCTTGCCCCACTCTCCTCTTCTGTATGGGTCCAAGAGTGTGCCACCCATTACCAGCTTTCCACAACTCTTACCTGGGCAACCTGACAGGATCCAGCGATCAGCGTCTGGGGTCTCGGGATCCAGGGCCGCTGCCGGCTTCCAGGCAGAACTCCTGGCTGCTGAAGATCTGGCACGTGCCGTTGTGGAAGGTGAAGCCTCCGCAGAGCAGCGTCCTCATCGCCGAACATCCGGGCGGCGCAGTCGATCCGTCTGCCTGCTGGGAGAGTCTGGCTCGGAGCGAAGGGAAACGTGCCGCCGACGCGACGGAAGTGAGCCCGCTCCACGTCAGACGCGCTAGCGACGCCCGCTGTCGCCTGCAAGAGAAATGAGAGCAGCAGCGCCTCCATAGTCCAGCTTTGGTCCAGGCGGGATCTCCCTGCGCTGGCTGAGGATCTCGGTGTTCTGGACAAGCCTCAAGCTTGCATGAAAACAGAGCTCTGTTTTATGTTATTGAATCGTCTCCTTGGTGCAGCTCTTTTGTATGGAACCAACACCCTTCGTGAACGGCGCTGATAATGAGTACCAACACCCTGGTCAGTACCGGTGACCGGTGGCGCGTGCCGCCACAGAACCCCGGCGCACAGCTGGCCCGCGAAATTACTGTTTTCTTCTATCGGCGGCCTCCGAAAATCGTCCTCCACCCAAACTACAAATGAGGTTGGAAGCGTCTCGGCGAGCTATGATGAGTGCAGGCCGGCAAAATGCAGTCGTCGGTGCTGTCTATAGGGCGCCTGGCACGCCTGTTACGAAAGAGCTGGAGGCGGTGAAGCAGCAGCTTCAGACAGCTCCATGTGCGACTGCAGCATCAGCATTATGACCGTCAAACGGCTGGCTCCCGTCCGACTGAGCTCCATCGTTACGTCTGTTGGGTCTGAGACGATTGGCGGGTCGCCTCCCGGAGGTCCCCTCGCCACTCACGCCGCTAGATCTCACGTCAACGGAGTCCCAGTATCCACCTCAGTCCTCCCGGAGGCCCCGTCGCCGCTAGATCTCACGTCAGCGGAGTCCCAGTATCCACCTCAGTCCTGCCGGACAGTGTTACCAGCCATGCTCCTGGCTCAGCTGTGCTCCAGGCTCAGCTGTGCTCCGGGCTCAGCTGTGCTCCGTGCTCAGCTGTGCTCCGAGTGCCGATCCCCCGATAGCGCCCCTCACGTCCAGCCTCGCACCTTTAAGGCCGCAGAGCCTCGTCATGGGTCCCCTGCGTGTCCATCCCTACCGGAGGTCACTCGCGGAGGTCACCGGAGGTCACTCGCGGAGGTCACCGGAGGTCACTCGCGGACAACTGCATGACCCAGCGGCGCTATACGGAAAACTCGCTCAAGCTTATGACGGTCTGGAGTACGGCTGTCGACGGCCACTGCCCACCGATCAGAGTGATGCGATGTCCACCGATCGGAGTAATGAAATGTCCACTGATCAGAGTAAGGCGATGTTCACTGATCAGAGTAATGCGATGTCCACTGATCATAGTAATGCGATGTCCACTGATCAGAGTAATGTGATGGCCACTGATCAGAGTAATGCGATGTCCATCGATCGGAGTAATAAGATGTCCACCGATCAGGGCAATGCGATGTCCACTGATCAGAGTGATGCTATGTCCACTGATCAAAGTAATGCGATGTCCACCGATCATAGCAATGCGATGTCCACTGATCAGAGTAATGCGATGTCTACTGACCAGACTAATGCGATGTCCACTGATCAGAGTTATGCGATGACGCGCGCTGTCCACTGATCAGATTGAGACGATGTCTGCTGATCAGAGTGATGAGATGTCCACCGATCAGAGTGATGCAACGTCTACTGATCAGAGGGATGCGATGACGCCCACCGCCCACTGATCAGAGTGATGTGATGACGCCCACCGCTCACTGATCAGGGTATGCGATGACGCCTAGTGTCTACTGATCAGAGTGATGGGATGTCGCCCACTGTCCGTGGTTTCGTGGCAACCCAGAGCTAGCGACAGCGACTGAGGACTGGGACGCGCCCCGGAGGACATCAGACGCGCGGTCAGACGCCCCGGAGGACATCAGACGCGCGGTCAGTGGTGGTAAGACATCTTCTTCTTTAGCTTAATCACTCCACCGTGACTGAGGTGCTTCTCAAGGCATTAAAAATCGCGCGTGTTCCTCTCAAGGGGTGGGGGATCCAGAATTTCATCAACTGTGTGTGTGGGGGGGGGGGGGGGGGGGCCGCAAATTGTGGAGTCCCATAAAGCCAATGGCCCGTCCAAGTTTTTTTTGCATTCCAGGCATTACATTTTAAGATTTTAGCATGTTGTTTTTGTGTGTGAAGCCGTCTAACTGTGCGCAGCCCTCGAAAACTAAGCGTGCTCCGTGTGCACATGCCTTGAGCATACTCATTTTGTTCAGATCATGGTAAATCCTTTCATTTTAAGACTAATTTTCAGACAAAATCATAGCAAAATAACTGAATGTTGACGCTAAATACCATTAGGATTAAGCACGACTTTTATTTCTAAATTATTTACAGCTCGCCGGCTGGTCGATGTGATGAGCTGATGGCTGCTGACAACTGCAGAGTTTTTTGCGCTGTCTGTTATGGAGGAGTACAGCATATTTTAACATTTTGAATGTACCAAGAACGTGGTGTGCTAACATTGCAGGTGTCACTAATTCAATAACTAACGGAAATGACGCGCACGACGTCGGTGGCACATAAAATTATCCTCGACCATTGCGCGTGAAAATTTTTCGGCGCATATCCGATTGCTGCTCCAAGGTAAAACCACTCAGGCCAATAGAGACGGAGCCTGAGCGATCATGGGTGCCGCGGCAGACCAAAAAAGACTTCCGTCAGCAAGAATATGGTCTTCAGAACAAGCAAGAAGAACCCAAGACCAGCGTGGTGGGTCCCTGAACTACCGGGAGTGCCCCAGCAGGCTGACACATCGGACCTCGGCCAGAGCACAGGGCCCTTTGAGGAAAGGGGAATTGCCCAAGACCAACGTGCGTGCATTCATGCCTCTGTGTGATCAAGAGTGCCCGGGCAGATTACCAGGAAGGGGCCCGATAACAGTGAAGGGTCCTCCGCAAACGAGGTCAAAGGGAAAGGAGCTCCATATCCATGAAGAGGGCTCTGAGCATTGAGCGGCTCGGTGCCTTACCTTACACGAGCCCCAGCAACAGCGCAGAGGCCTTCCAAACAAGTGGAAAGAATCCAAGACTAACATGAAAGGTCCCTGAACAACTGAGTGTACCAGCCATATTGAGCCCCGGCTAAAGCCTATAGAGGCTTTTGGGCAAATGAGAAGAATCGGTGGAGGGCCCCTGCTCAATCAGGAATGTCCATCCATGTTAGCAGTTAGTGCTTTAACAGCAGCGGACGGCCCTTCGAAGAAGTGCAAAAAGATGAAGGGCAACGCGGAAGGCTTCTCAACGAAGAAATACCCGAAACACAATATGGATGGCCTAGTAATGATCGGGTGTCTCCGAGCAGGTCAACAGGCAGGGCCCCGACAAGAGCGAGGGGACCATCCACTCAAATAGGAAGTACCCGAGACCCAGTGTGAACGGCCGCTAAAGATCAAGTGCGTCCAGGCGTGCTAACGGATGGCCCTCGACAGGAGCTCAGGACCTAACATTCAAATACCAAAACCCGATGCGCAGGGCCCACGAACAACCTGGTGCAGCCGGGCAAGTTAATTTTGAGGGCCCGAACGACCGAGTGTGCCCAAGCAGGTTAACAGATGGGCCTCCGACAAGAGCATAGATCCCTGAGCAAGTGAAAGAGAACTGGAAGAGCCCTACACCAATGAAAAGGACTGATAGGCATATCGTGAGCGTGCCGGTAGGTTGACCGAGACCAAGGTGAAGGGTTCCTGAACAACCGAAGATGCCCCGGCAGGTTAACATAAGGGGCCATGGATATAGCGTATAGAGCCTTTCGGGCGAATGAAAAGAATCAGGGGAAGCCCCTGATTGAAAAGAGTAACGCGTTAGCAGGAAGGGCTCCAGCAACAGCGCAGGACCCGCCGAGCAAATGCAAAGGAATAAAAGGCAAGTTAGAAAGCTCCTTACCAATTGCATTGCCCCTGCAAGTGGATATATTGGGTCCCCAGAAACAGCGTGAGGTCTCTGGACAGCGTAATGGGGCTTATAATCTCCCAAACACCACTCTCTCAATCAGTGAAGGATAGCTTTGCCTACTCGTAGGGCCCTTCGCTTTCGCTCGCGACTGTTCTTGGTCGTCTGGAAGCCCAAATACGTCCAAGTTTGTTGCGTTTTGAATAAAAAACTACGTCTATTCGGCAGGCTACGAATCACTTTCGGAGCTTATGGGCTGCTTCGCGGTCCAAAGGGCGGGGGAATGGCCCCGTGCCCCCCCCCCCCTCCCCCACTCTGGATCCGCGCCTGGATTGAGTCAACCTTATCGCCTGAGTCAACTAAGAGGTGCCGCCCCTGTGTATGAACATGAATTTACGCACACTGCAACAATGAACTTCTGCACGTTAAACACGTGGTGCGTATTAATGGTACTGGAATGTGTTTTCTTCGTCATGGCTCTTCGCGCGGTAGATTAGCAAAAACCGGGAAAGGAACACTTCAAGACATCTTCACAACAGAAAATTAGCTGCCTCTTCTTCTTTATTTAATAATGGATGCATTACCTCCGAATTCGGATTCAGAACAAATGGGTACTTAGCACTTGCACATATTTTATATATTCGCCTTGAGGGCTGAATAGATCACTATTTTGATAGAAATTTAAGTTCAAAAAGTAAACTAGACTAATGCGTTGAGTTCACTTTTTCTATTCTTTAGGTTTTAGCCTACCAATAAAGAAACAAGTACTATATCCAGTACTTGTAACTTGTGGATGTGGACCATCACTATAAACTCACAAGCGGCGAGTTTGAGTTCAAAAGTTTAAAAGGGGAGAGTGATGCATGGCGCAGGCGAGTGCTTCTGAACTTCTCGTAGTTTCTTTTGGTTTGTTTGCTTACTTGTTCTGGTGCAATCGCTGATTAAATTGTCTTAATTGCATGCCATGCAGCTTTGTTAGGAACGATGATTATCTGAAGGTTTGTTGAAATGGTTGTGTTACGGGCCTACGGCCATTGCCCGTTCACGGGTTGTGATGGTAAACAACACGGTCTGGGGCGGAAACGTCGTGACTGGCCGTTTCAATGGATTTAATCATGGGTAGAAGACAACGATAAAACGAGCTGGACCAAATTTGTTACAAACCATGCATGACTGTCAGCTTAAAGTGACCCAAGTAGACACGCCCTAAAACCCAATCTCCGATGCAAAAATAATTTGGAGCATTCATGCCACTTTGCGAGAATATCCAGCATCTGACCTCATCAGACACTTTTAAAAGCTGATTGGCATTTAACCAGGTCATGTTGAAGGAAACATCCGCATGTTCTGATAACCTGTGAAGGATTTAGGTGTCTGCCTGCAGATGTACTTCCAGATCGGAAGGCATTTATTTTTAAAAGGTTGTGTAGTTGTCAAATGTAAAGCTCTTGTATGTCTTGAGATTTTCAGCTTTGCATACAAATAGCAATGAATGGGTGTTCTATTTTTGTGTTATCCTTAACACAATAATGTTATTTCAAGCATGCTTTGCAACATAAGCTAATGTGTGGTGGTAGAGATTGTGTCATCTGTACTCAGGTTTAGTCATATTTACCATGGATGTATATATGTATATATATATATATATATATATATATAGCATGCATATATATAATGCTATCATTTATCAGGCATGACATATCTGACTTTTGTTGTTATTTTTCAGACCATGGCATCAAAAGCAGTTTCCTTTGAGGTAAGAATGCGTCCTATTCATAACATAATTGCTGTTTATGCTAACTTTCCTGCCAATTTGGTAACTGGTTCCATCTCAGTTGTATGAGGAACACTCTGAAATTGCTAATGCTGATTGTGGTTTGTTGCTTGTCTGCTGACTGTATGATTTCTTATGTTACATCACATGACCTTATCAGGTATGGGCTTTTGCTTTGGAAGGGCACTGGACTCATTGGACCCTGGACTCACTTGTATTGAGCTCCTACCATTTGAAATTTATCAAAGCTGGCCAGAAACTCAGGCATACCCAGCATGAGGCTAGCCTGGACATGAACTGGTGTAATGCATAGAAAGCAACTACACTAGGGAAGAGAGGTCCAGTTGTTGACAACTCTCATGCTGAAGGGATTACTTTGATCAGAGTTCCATGAATACTCAACAAGCATGTGTTATACTGGAACCACTGTCAGTTTCAAATACCATGACACCATGTTAGGCATTGTTTGCATCATTGCAGACTCAGCAGCTGTATTGGGTGGGGTGGAGGCACTGGTGGGCCTGGATCTTACTTGGATACATGTGTGCACTGTTACAGGTGTCATTTGCTTTTGGACTATGCCAGCTAAAAGATACCAGGCATAACACAAGTCAGTCCCTGTGTGTGTGTGTGTGGCTGCTCTGTGTCCCTGACAGTCCACTCATGACTGAGGCCCACCTACAGCAGCTTGACCCTTTGTTGGCTACCACTGTTTGAGCCTGTGATAACCCAGCCCCCACATGCCACTGTGCTCTGCGCCTGTCACAGTCCACATTGGACCAGCTTGCATCTAACTGCGGCCTGACTCCAGGTCTGGCTACAGTCCATGCCTGTGGCGTGATTCTGTGTGTGTGTATGTGTGTGTGTGGGGGGGGGGGCAGAGCATGCGACTGTGACTGTCGGGACCTGTATGACGCCGCAGTTCGTGCCCGTGTCCGCAGTCGTGCCCGCAGCAACCCAACCCTGTGTATCGCCCCAGTCTGACCCCCGACCCAGTCTGACCCCCGACCCAGTCTGAACCCCTGACCCAATCTGACCTGACCCAGTCTGACCTCCTGCCCCAGTCTGACCCCTGACCCAGTCTGACCCCCTGCCCCGGTCTGACACCCTGACCCAGTCTGACCTCCTGCCCCGGTCTGACACCCTGACCCAGCCTGACCCCCTGACCCAGTCTGACCCCGGGCGCGTCGCCAGGTACGGCGGAGCCCGCCCGGGCGCCGGGCGCCGGCCAGCCCGGAGCCGGTGCCCGTGCTGCAGCTGCGCCGGTTCGCAGCCACGCCCAAGGTGGCGTTCGGCACGGTGCGCGTCGGCTCGAGCCGCACCATCGGCCTGATCGTGCAGAACCCCTCCGAGCAGCCGGTCCAGGTGGGTGGCGTGCGGCCGCGCTCGCTGACGGTTTGAAACGGACTCGGTTTGTTTTGGCGCCAAATGACCGCTGCAGCCGGCGCGCCCAGTCACGCCAATAAATCACAAAGGAAGCGGTTTGTGTTCCGGCGCGGCGGGGCTCTTAATCTCAGTAAGGTGGCTCCACAGCAGGCGGAGGTTTGGACGCACCGCTGGCGCCACTGGAGATGGTGGCGTTCGTCGGGCTGGAAACGCGAAAGCAGACTTAGACACGGTGACGTCATCGTTCGGGACAGCCTCGGTGCTGCGGAGCTCTGACGTCACTGGCGTTTTAGTACTCCGGCTGTGGGACCGCGGAGTCCTGGACCACAGAGTCCTGGACCTCAGGGTCTTGGGCCGCGGAGTCCTGGACCACGGAGTCGTGCACTACGGAGCCCTGGATCGCAGGGACCGCTGAGTCCTGGCCCTGGTCCCCCCGCAGCAGGAGTTCGCGCCTGTGGTGGACCCCTCGCTCCAGCGCCGTCTCGCGTGACACCCAGGATGACCTGTCCGTTGGAGCAGGAGCGGGCCCTTTATTGCGGTCTGCGCGACGCGTTGTTGCCATCCGACGCAAATACCCGTGAAATCAACCTTTTGGTCTGCCAGGAGACAACGGCGTCTTTGTGCGATAGTTTTTCACGTGTCCGGTCGTGCCGCTTCCACTCCGTGTCTGACGCTCCGCCCGCTGCCGCCAGCTGATAGTGGAGAAGGTGCCCGAGGCGCTGGGCTTCCGCGTGGACGTGCCAGTGCTGCACCTGGAACCGCTGATGGACGCCGTGCTGGCCGTGCACTGGACGCCGGCGGCCGGCGGCAACCAGCGCGGGGTGCTGGCGCTGCGCACCGACGGCGGCGTGCGCTGCCAGGCGGTGCTGCTCGGCACGGGACGCGCGCCTGACACCAAGAAGGTCAGTCTCCGGCGCCGCCGCCCGTCCCCCGTCTCCCGTCCCCCGTCCCCCGTCCCCCGTCCGCGGTCTCCCATCCGCTGTCCCCTGTTCCCCGTCCGCCGCCCGCCGCCCGCCGTCCCTCGTCCCCGTCTCCCATCGCCCATCCCTCGTCGCCCATCCTCAGTCGCCCATCGCCCGTCCCCCGTACCCCGTCCCCCATCCCCCGTCCCCTGTCCCCCGTCCCCCGTCCCCCGTCCCCCGTCCCCCGTCCCCCGTCCCCTGTCCCCCGTCCCCCGTCCCCCGTCCCCCGTCCCCCGTCCCCCGTCCCACGTCCCCGTCCCCCGTCCCCCGTCCCCCGTCCCCCGTCCCCCGTCCCCCGTCCCCCGTCCCCGTCCCCGTCCCCCGTCCCACGCCGCCCGTCGTCCATCCCCCGTCGCCCACCCTCCGTCGCCCGTCGCCCGTCGCCCGTCGCCCATCGCTAGTCGCCCGTCGCCTGTCTCATGCTCCATGTTTCTGCCCCTGTTCCCCGCGCAGTGTGGCTATGTGCGGGGCTAGTCCAGAGCACGTGCTCTATCCAGTGCAAAGGCCGAGGCGGACTTAGATATAGGGTCGTATTGTGAGCCCTCCTAAGGATGCTGGCAATCGTGTGTCCGCTTGGGGCTGTGCACTACAAGCTCCCCTGAAAACGACAAACCGTGTGACGATGCGTGTGTGTGCTGTGTCAGTGCGCGACATGGTGCACTGGACCTCACTCGGTGCTCGTCGCATCATTCCATGCACGTGATCGTAACACTAGTGCTGTACATTTCACGTGATCGTAACACTAGTACATTTCATGCTGTGTGAGGAAGGAGGTAGCCTTTGAGGGAACGCGTCTGCACATGCGCCACTCACCAGTCGGTTCCCTTCCAGAAGAAGACATCATCGGCCAAGGGCCCGCGCTTCCTGAAGCCTCAGTCGCGGAACGCGGGCACCTCGGCCGGGCGGCCGGCGCCGGCCAAACCGGCGGCGTCCCGGCCGGGCCGCGAGAACCGTCCGCCGGCGCCGAGGGCAGCGGCGGCGGCGGCGGCGGACGGCCTGCTGCGACCCCCGCCGGCGCCGCTCAACTCCACCCACCGGCTGGAGACGTCCACTGACTGCTCGACGCTGCTGGACGCGCTGCGCACGCCGCCCGACTTCTCCGTGAGCCTGATCCGCAGCGAGCCGGCGCCGGCGCCGCCGCCGGCCACGCCGCGGCGGCATACGTTCCTGGCCGAGCCGCCGGCGTCGGGCCGCGCCGGCCGCCGCGAGGCCGCCGCGCCGCCCCTGCCGCCCTGCTCCGTGCCCGAGTCACCACTGCGGCGGCAGACGTTCGTTCGGGCGGCGGGCCCGACATTGGCGGCGCCCGAGGTGGGTGGGGCCATCGCGGAGGAGGAGGGGTTCGTGTTCGAGACGCCGCAGCTGTTCGCGCGCGTAGGCCGGCGGGCGGCGGCTGCGCGCGCGCGCAACCCGGCCGACGGCCAGAGCTCGCCGCAGCACTGGGTGAAGACGCCGGCTTTGTTCGGTCGCGGCGCCGGCAGCGCCAAGGAGGAGCGCCACGAGCGCCACGGCGCCAGAGGCGACCGCGACGTCGCGCAGAACGCAGAGGAGCAGTGCGCGGCGGTGCACGTGGAGACTAGCGAGCAGGACCACGACTGGATGAGCACGCCGGCGCTGTTCGGCAAACGCTTCGGCGGGAGACAGCGCGGCGGCTGTGGCGAGGAGGGGCCGGGGCCGGCCGGAGCCGGAGGACAGCGCGGCGGCTGTGGCGAGGAGGGGCCGGAGCCGGCCGTCGCCGGAGGACGGCGCGGCGGCGTGCGCTACACCGAGGAGCAGTGCACGGTCTCCGTCAGGCAGACGGTCCAGCAGGAGCTCGTGCTGGACGGCACGGCGTTCCGCACGCCTCAGCTGTTCGCGAGGAGCGTGGCGCACACCCAGCCGGACGGCGACGAGCTGTCGCCGCCGGACGAGCCGGCCGGGGAGGACGCGGCGCCGCTCTGGAGCGGGCCTGACCTGCTGCCAGCGGCGGCGGCAGAGCGGGAGGCGGCGGCCCTGCAGACGCCGCCGCGGCTCTCGCGTACGTGGCGCGTGGAGCCGGGCGGTGGCCGGCTGGTGGCGCGCCTGACGCCCGAGGGCAAGCTGCGGGTCACGGCCGGGGCGGAGCGCGCCGGCGCGCCGGCCCAGGCGACCGAGCCGGCGCCGCGCGCGACGGCACCGGCCGCCCGACGCGCGGCCTCCGGCGAACGGGTCCAGTGTGTGCACGAGGAGATCCTGGAGGAGGAGACGCTGATTCGACACGTGTTCGCGCGCGGCGAGGCGGCGCCGCGGCCGGCGCCGCCCGCAGCGCCACTTGGGACCGATGCGGACGCGGAGGCGGCGCCGGGCCTGCCGCCGCCGGCCGCGGCCGACGCCTCGTCGGACGTGTCTGGGAATCTGTCGTCGGAGACGTACGTCAAGTCGCCGGCGCCCTCAGGGCTGGCGCTGCCGCACGTGGAGGCGTCGCCGCCGCCGCCGCCGCCGCCGGCACCTCCGCGCGGTGTGCCGTCACCGCGCAGCCCCGGCGGCGGCCTCAGCTGCATCCGGGAGGAGAGCGGCAGCGTGGCCTCCTCCGGCCGAAACCTGACCTTCTCGCTGGAGGAGACGCCGCTGGAGCACGCAGAGCAGGCGGAGCGCGCGGCCGATGTGGCCGACAGAAGCGCCGGCGCCGGATGGACGGCCGCCGAGCCGGACGCCGTGTTCGACCCGCCCGGCGAGCCGGCCGCCGTCGCCGGCGGCGACTCGGCCGGCGGGCTGCTGTTCTTGCCGCTGTCGCCGCCGACGGCGTGCGCGTCCGACGCCACCGCCGCCGAGTGGACCACGGCTACCGAGTGGCCCTCCGTCGGGCCGTCCGTCGAGCCGTCCGTCGAGCCTTCCGTCGAGCCGGCCATCGAGCCGCGGCGCGCCAGCGGGCTGCTGTTCATCCCGCTGTCGCCACCGGCCGCGGCGCCGGCGCGTCGGGCGGCGGCGGTCGGCGCTGCAGCGCGGCCGCGGACGCGGCGGCCGGCGCTGACCGTCACACCCGGGAAGAGGCGCGCCGCCCGGCTGAGGGTGTCGCCGGCCAGGGCGAACGGTGAGGCGGGCTGACGGGGCGTGTGGGGGAGAGGCAGAGACGGCTGGGGAGGGGACGGGGCGCGTAGTGGGGAGACGGACGGGGGCTGGGGAAGGGGCGGTGAGTATGGACTGGTGAGGGAGGCTGGGAGGGGATGGGGCGTGTGGTGGGGAGACGGACGGGGGCTGGGGAAGGGACGGTGCGCATGGACGGGTGAGGGAGGCTGGGGGGGGGGGGGGGGATGGAGCGTGAGGTGGGGAGACGAACGGGGGCTGGGGAAGGGACGGTTGAGGGAGACTGGGAGGGGATGGAGCGTGTGGACGGGTGACGCTAAGACGAGGACTGGGGAGGGGGTGAGGCGTATGGCGGGGAGAAGGACGGGGGCTGGGGAAGTGACGAGTGAGGGAGACTGGGAGGGGATGGAGCGTGTGGACAGGGTGACGCTAAGACGAGGACTGGGGAGGGGGCGGGGCGTGCACCAGCCAGTGTTGTGTGGCGTAGCTGGTGTCGGCACTGACCGGCCACGCCTGGGGCTGTAGTGGTGACTTGTGTTGTGTTTTGAGCTTCCGTAGATCTTACACGTCATATGCCAATGCTTTACCAATGCATGCCGAATAGCAGCATTTGTTTTTGCGTGATGGTTGTTAGCTGTATACCCTTTAGAATGCTACGTAGTTCACGCAAGAGCGGGGATCAGCAGACGTTTTGACTTCAGCGCCGTCGGTGCGTCTTCAGTGTCCACCGCACCACAGACCGCCCCCCGCCCGCGCCCGTCTGTCGGCGGTGTCGACCTCAGCAGCTGACCCCTCCTCCCCCCCTGTGTCGGCCAGTGGGTGCCGTGGCCCGGCGGGCGGCGGCGGCGACGACGGCCGTGCGACAGCGGCGGCTGGTGCTCAGCAGACCGGCTCGAGCCGTCGCCACCAAACCCAACCCGTTCGCCTCCAGGTGAGCGGCGGCTTCACGACACCATGGGCATGACAAGGTGTGGCTGCCCCGCCCGGCAGGGGGCGTATGCAGCAGCGGCCGGACGGTTTCAAAACTCACATTTCGTATCACGGATAACCAGACGGGGACGATAGCCCGGCCAGTTATCCCATCCGTGATACTGATACTCGTCCCAATCCTTCCGTTAAGCCGTTTGCATTTCGTATTCGCATTTGCTCCCTCTGGAATTTTTGTCAAATCATTGTTGCAGTCGTGGAAGGCAGGCATGTTGGACTTTCTGGTCTGCTAGTATCGCGCGGAAAACCCTGAGGATGGAGCGGTTTGTGTTGAATACCTCCATGTGCACGGTGTGTTATACCGAACAACACGATCGCTACACATGTCTTCGGGGAGTCCAGCGGCGTTTTAAAGCTGCCGCCGTAGCGTGGCTGCTGCCTGTGTCTGAGCGGCCTCACCGCCCTGCCCCGAGAGCGCGAGCCCGCCGCGCCGCTGCCGTAGCGTGGCTGCTGCCTGTGTCTGAGCGGCCTCACCGCCCTGCCCCGAGAGCGCGAGCCCGCCGCGCCGCTCGCTGTAGCGTGGCTGCTGCCTGTGTCTGTGTGGCCTCACCGCCCTGCCCCGAGAGCGCGAGCCCGCCGCGCCGCTGCCGTAGCGTGGGCTGCCGCTGCTGTTGTGGCCTCACGCCCTGCCCGAGAGAGCGCGAGCCCGCCGCGCCGCTGCCGTAGCGTGGCTGCTGCCTGTGTCTGTGGCCTCACGGCCCGAGAGCGCACGCGCCGCTGCGACGGGCCGGCCTGTGTCTGGGGCGGCCTCACCCTGCCCGGCGGACCGCGCGCAGCGCGCCGTGGGCCGGTGCTCGGGCCGGCGCTCAAGAAGCCGCCTCCGTCATCGTCGCCCTGCGTGGTCGCCACCAGCAAACTGTACTACGACAAGGACTTGGCTGCCGAAAGCAGGAGCGCGGCCTTTCACCGCCTGGCTCAACTTCATCCTGACGCCCAGCGAGTACAGCTGCGACGACGTCAAAGGTGCGGGGGAGGGGGCGGTCCGGCGGGCCGGGGCCGGGCGCACTGCACGGCGGAGGGAAACGGTCCGGCGGACCGGGGCCGAGCACACTGCACGGCGGAGGGAAACGGTCCGGCGGGCCGGGGCCGGGCGCACTGCACGGCGGAGGGCTGTTCGGTGGGTTTTCTGACCTGGGAGTGGTCAGCGACGTCAGCTGGTGGTGCGAGAGGCGATGTGTTGGCACGGTACGTGTCAGCGGCGGGTGCGTGGCTTCGAGGCTCGCTGTCAGTTCCGTGTCACGTCAGACCGCCGCCGCCGGCAGAGTCTGACGCTGGCGACCCTAGGGGCTGCATGCGTCGGGAAATGATGAATGTGCCCTCCCCTCGGTATTAACTCCTTCCTGTTCGTGATGACTCCCCCTGTCCATGGTAACTCCTCCCTGTTCGTGATGACTCCCCCTGTCCGTGGCGACTCCTTGCTGGTCATGGTGATTCCTTCCTGTCCGTGGGACTCCTCCATGCTCGTAGTGAATCCTCCCTATTTGTAATGAATCCTCCCTGGTCATGATGACTCCCCCCTCTCCGTAACGACTCCTCCCTGTCGTAGTGACTCCTTCCTGTCCGTGATGACTTGTCCCTGTCCGTAATGACTGCTCCCCGCCCATGGTGACTCCTCCCTGTCCGTAGCGACTCTTCCCTATCCGTAATGACTCCTCCCCGCCCATGGTGACTCCTCTCCGGCCGCCTCCGCTGACTGGTCGTCCGTCTCTCTCGGCCAGTGGACGCCGCGCGGATCCTGCTGGAGGCGAAGCGGACGCGCGTGCCGCCGGCCCCCTCACGAGAGACGCTCTCGCTGCGAGAGTACACGGCCCAGCGCCGGCTCAACCGGCTCCGTATGGACGCCTGCAGGTGAGTGGCGCTCACACAGCGCCGAACAGCTGATCATGACACGGCTCTGGACGGCTGATCATGACACGGTACCGGACAGCTGATCATGGCACGGCGCAGGACAGCTGATCAACGTTCGTTTTTCTTGTTTTTAGTGCTCTTCTTTGTGTCGTGTACACTGTGCCCTCTACGGTTTCCCTTCTTGACCTGCCTTCTTGTTTTTCACGCCGCCGTCCTCTGATTTCTACTTGGCACCATCCATGATCAGTTCGCGGTCACGGTCAGTCGTTACGAGGACAGCCGGAAGCGCTGCATGTACACCGCAGGGCGGCATCTGTCGCGTGCCGCTACACCGCCTGCATCACCGGCGGCGGCTCTGTGCGCAGGCTGTTCGAGGAGCCGCAGATGACCCGGGTCATCCGTAACGTTGAGCGCGAGGTGGAGACGGGCGGACTGCGCGTGCGCCGTGACCGCACCCTGCACGCCGACGTCGGTACGTGTGGCGTCACGCGCCGACCGCGGCCGGCCGGGCGTCGCCTGACCACGCCCGAGAGAGCTCGCGTTCGATCCCAACCGCACGGAACTTTCAATCTCGGCGTGGCGGCTGCAGCGCCTCTGGCATTTGTGGGCGTCGATAGACCGATGTAGCAAGGTCCTTATAAGCGGGTGCAGGGCAGATCTATACGTGGTGTGGTCTGCGGGCCTCCATGTGTGCTCCGTCTGCTCAGATCTGAAGTGTGGTCTGCGGGCCCCCATGTGTGCTCCGTCTGTCCAGGTCTGAAGTATGGTCTGCAGGCCTCCATGTGTGTTCCGTCTGTCCAGGTCTGAAGTGTGGTCTGCAAGCCTCCATGTGTGCTCCGTCTGTCCAGTTCTGAAGTGTGGTCTGCGGGCCTCCATGTGTGCTCCGTCTGTGCAGGTCTGAAGTGTGGTCTGCAAGCCTCCATGTGTGCTCCGTCTGCTCAGGTCTGAAACAGCTGGTGGTGGGCTGGCTGCTGAACTACAACCCGCTGTGGTTGCGGCTGGGCCTGGAGACCGTCTACGGAGAAGTGATCCACCTGCAGGCGCCGGACGACCTCACCACCCTGGCGAGGTTCATCACCACACGGTCAGTGGGCGGCTGGGCGCTGGTGTCATACCGTGGCACTGACGCGCTCACACGCTGACACTGACACCGACGACTCTGGTGGGGCTCAGCAGCCACACGGTCGGTTGGCGGCTGTGCTGATGATGTCCTGGTGTCACGCTGCCGCACTGCTGTCGCCGTAGCACCAACAACAATGGCGTGTCGACGCTAGTGTCGCGGCGACACCGACGCCGCACCGACTCCTGAGGCGGTCGGGTCGTGCTCGCCCACCACCCACGTCACAAACGGCTGGAGTCTCGCTGGTGCCAAGTCACCACCGCGTCAGACTGCACCACGTCAGGCCGACACCACATCTCCCCTCCGGACGTCACGCTGCGGCGCGCCGCGCGCACTGAGCACCGCACAGACGGCCGGTGCCGCGTTTGAAACCCATCGCTCGCGTCCGCGCGCGCCGGGCACCACACAGACGACCGGTGCCGCGTTTGAGGCCCGTCGTTCCCCCGCGCGCACTGAGCGCCACGCAGACGGCAGGTGCTGCGTTTGAAACCCATCGCTCGCGCCGCGCGCGCTGGGCACCACACAGACAGCCGGTGCCGCGTTTGAAACCCATCGCTCGCGCCGCGCGCGCTGGGCACCACACAGACGGCAGGTGCCGCATTTGAGGCCCGTCGCTCTCCCGCGCGCACTGAGCACCACGCAGACCCTCACATGGCCTGCCCTCAGGCTGCTGTGGAGTCCGGAGCTGGCGGCCCGCCACCGCCACCCTACGGTGCCACACCTGTACGGGCCGCAGTGGGAGCCGGAGCTGAAGCGGTTCATCCTGAAGAAGTTCCTGCTGCTCGTCCTGCTGCTGGACGTGGCCAAGAGCCGGCGGCTCATCCACCACGACCCGTGTCTCTTTAACAAGCGCGGCCACATCAAGGTGGGACTGAGGGGCGGGGGCGAGGGCCGGCGCCGACGCCTCTCGGCGCTCGTGGGGCTGAAGGGCGAGGCGGGGGCCGGCGCTGACACCTCTCGGCGCCCGTGGGACTGAAAGGCGGGACGAGGGCCGGCGCCGGCGCCTCTCGGCGCTCGTGGGACTGAAGGGCGGGGCGAGGGCCGGCGCCGACGCCTCTCGGCGCTCGTGGGGCACAAGGGCGGGGCGAGGGCCGGCGCCGACACCTCTCGGCGCTCGTGGGACTGAAGGGCGGGGCGAGGGCCGGCGCCGACACCTCTCGGCGCTCGTGGGACTGAAGGGCGGGGCGAGGGCCGGCGCCGGCGCCTCTCGGCGCTCGTGGGCTGAAGGGCGGGGCGAGGACCGGCGCCGGGCCTCTCGGCGCTCGTGGGGCTGAACGGCGGGGCGAGGACCGGCGCCGGCGCCTCTCGGCGCTGGGGGCTGAAGGGCGAGGCGGGGGCCGGCGCCGGCGCCTCTCGGCGCTCGTGGGGCTGAAGGGCGGGGCGAGGACCGGCGCCGGCGCCTCTCGGCGCTCGTGGGGCTGAAGGGCGGGGCGAGGACCGGCGCCGGCGCCTCTCGGCGCTCGTGGGGCTGAAGGGCGGGGCGAGGACCGGCGCCGGCGCCTCTCGTCGCTCGTGGGGCTGAAGGGCGAGGCGGGGGCCGGCGCCGGCGCCTCTCGGCGCTCGTGGGGCTGAACCGGCTGCGAGGCCTGACGTCACGTCCGCCCACTGGATTGACGTGAAGCTGGTGACAATGAAGTCTCTTAGTTTAACGGTATCCTGTTTGTCGTACTTGGCCTGTGTTTGTCACGGTGGCACATTTGAAGTTCAAATAAGATTTCGCTGTTTTACTAAAAGCAAAGGCATGATAAGGCAAAAAAGGCAAGTGGGGATGATCCGAAGCGGTCTGACTGGGCGACCTCCGGCGCGGGGGTGGTGACCCGACGCCGGCCAGCAGCCGACGAGCGAGTCATCGCAGAGGCTGACCTTCGGCTGATGTGCCGGCAAAGTGGCCTTGACCCAGGGCAGGTCATGTCGGATACCTTTGACGTTTGTCCCGTGACCCAGCTGTTGCCTGTCATATGACCTCACCCAGCCTGTGAAACCAGTCATGACGGGTCCTGCAACCTGACCTGACCTGGTGCCAGCCTTGGGCTGCTAGTGTGACCTGACCTGACCCCTGACCTGACCTGACCCCTGACCTGAGCCGTGCCCTGCCTCGGCCAGGCGAGTCGAGAGTTGCTGGTGGCGTTCTCGCGCGAAATGCTGGCGGGCGAGGGCGACATCACCAAGCACCTGGCGTTCCACGGCTACCGCGTCAGCCACCAGCAGACGGCGCTACACGAGTTCGACTACGCTGTCACCTGCCTGGCCACCGACCTGCGCTGCGGCGTCCGGCTGACGTGAGTAGTGCGCCCGCCCGCCGACAGGCGTCTCCCGCGGCGGCCGCGCGGAAGCCGCCCGCCTGCGGCGCTCGTCCCCACCGTGTTGGCCGGCCGCCACGCCGTGCTGCAGCTGACCGGTGGTGTGTATCCCGCCGTCCAGCGACGCCTGACCCTGCCGCCGTCTCACTGAGCTGCGTTGTGGCCGCTGTGACATTACGGCGCAGTCGAAGCTCCCGAAAGCTGCAATTACTGCCGGCAGTGAGACGCTGCGGCGTCGCTCGTCGCTGTGACGTCGCTCGTCGCCGTGGCGTCGCTCGTCGCCGTGGCGTCGCTCGCCGCCGTGACGTCGCTCGCCGCCGTGACGTCGCTCGTCGCTCGTCGCCGTAACGTCGCTCGTCGCCGTGGCGTCGCTCGTCGCCGTGCCGTCTCTTGTCGCCGTGACGCCGCTCGTCGCCGTGGCGTCGCTCGTCGCCGTGGCGTCGCTCGCCACCGTGACGTCGGTCGCCGCCGTAACGTCGCTCGTCGCCGTGGCGTCGCTCGCCGCCGTGACGTCGCTCGTCGCCGTGCCGTCTCTTGTCGCCGTGACGTCGCTCGCCGCCGTTGCGTCGCTCGCCGCCGTGACGTCGCTCGTCGCCGTGGCGTCGCTCGCCGCCGTGACGTCGCTCGTCGCCGTGGCGTCACTCGCCGCCGTGACGTCGCTCGTCGCTCGTCGCCGTGACGTCGCTCGTCGCCGTGGCATCGCTCGCCGCCGTAACGTCGCTCGTCGCCGTGGCGTCGCTCGCCGCCGTGACATCGCTCGTCGCCGTGCCGTCTCTTGTCGCGGTGACTTCGCTCGTCGCCGTGGCGTCGCTTGTCGCCGCGGCGTCGCTCGTCGCCGCGGCGTCGCTCGTCGCCGTGACGTCGCTCGCCGCCGTGACGTCGGTCGCCGCCGTTGCGTCGCTCGTCGCCGTGACGTCGCTCGTCGCCGTGACCGTGCTGCTCCCGGTCGGCAGGCGGGTGGTGGAGCTGCTGCGGCAGCGGTTCGACCTGTCGGCCCAGCTGCGGCTGCCGGCGCTGGACCGCCAGCAGAAGCTTCACAACAGCCGGCTGGCGGTGGCCGCCGCCGAGCTGCAGCTGGACGCCGAGCCGTGGGCGCGCCACCTGGTGGACGGCCACTGCGAGCGCACGCTCCACCTGCTCTGGCTGCTGGCGCTGCGGTACCAGGTGAGTGCCGGCCGGGGAGGGCAGGGGGCACAGGGTGGGTATCGGGTCTATCCCGCCCCCCCCCCCCCTCTGCGGCTCCATACTCGCCACTTCTGGACGGTTTAGTGGTCCCGTTCGTCACGCTTCTGGTGAGATGGTCCTGGACAGTCTGGGGCGGCGCCGGCGGCCTCCCCGCGTCGGGAACGCCCCGGACTGGCGCGGCCGGCCGGCAGGGTCGTGCCACCGCCTGCGCTGCGACGATGCTGCTTATTGCATGTTTTCGGGCGCGCTGGTTGTAGAGGGCATTTGACGTCCATAACGATGCTGTCACGCAGCACAGCCACGAGCCAGGCCGGCCACGAGAGTGCGCGTTAAGGCCTGCTGCCGGCCGTGTTTCGCCGGGTGACACGAAGGTTGCCGTCAGAGCCGGCCGCGGGAGGGAGCGACGCTGCGGTCCGTGGCGACGCGGCCCGACCTGCGGCCCCCGCCGCCGGTCCTAACCGGGGTGTCAGTGTGTGTGGTGTGCTCCGCGGGAGGGAGCGACGCTGCGGTCCGTGGCGACACGGCCCGGCCTGTGACCGCCGCTGGTCCTGACCGGGGTGTCAGTGTGTGTGGCGTGCTCCGCCAGATCACCGTCGGCCTGGACCTGGACAAGCTGCGCCGCGAGGTGGCCCGCCTGGAGAAGAGCCTCTCCAACAGCTGCTTCATCGGCAACGCCGAGGCCGAGCAGGGTACGTGTGGCCGGCCGCGGTGGGGAGGGTGCCGAGCAGGGTACGTGTGGCCGGCCGCGGTGGGGAGGGTGCCGAGCAGGGTACGTGTGGCCGGCCGCGGTGGGGAGGGTGCCGAGCAGGGTACGTATGGCCGGCCGCGGTGGGGAGGGTGCCGAGCGGGGTACGTGTGGCCGGCCGCGGTGGGGAGGGTGCCGAGCAGGGTACGTGTGGCCGGCCGCGGTGGGGAGGGTGCCGAGCAGGGTACGTGTGGCCGGCCGCGGTGGGGGAGGGTGCCGAGCGGGGTACGTGTGGCCGGCCGCGGTGGGGAGGGTGCCGAGCAGGGTACGTGTGGCCGGCCGCGGTGGGGAGGGTGCCGAGCAGGGTACGTGTGGCCGGCCGCGGTGGGGAGGGTGCCGAGCAGGGTACGTGTGGCCGGCCGCGGTGGGGAGGGTGCCGAGCAGGGTACGTGTGGCCGGCCGCGGTGGGGAGGGTGCCGAGCAGGGTACGTGTGGCCGGCCGCGGTGGGGAGGGTGCCGAGCAGGGTACGTATGGCCGGCCGCGGTGGGGAGGGTGCCGAGCGGGTACGTGTGGCCGGCCGCGGTGGGGAGGGTGCCGAGCAGGGTACGTGTGGCCGGCCGCGGTGGGGAGGGTGCCGAGCAGGGTACGTGTGGCCGGCCGCGGTGGGGAGGGTGCCGAGCGGGGTACGTGTGGCCGGCCGCGGTGGGGAGGGTGCCGAGCAGGGTACGTGTGGCCGGCCGCGGTGGGGAGGGTGCCGAGCAGGGTACGTGTGGCCGGCCGGGGGGAGGGTGCCGAGCAGGGTACGTGTGGCCGGCCGCGGTGGGGAGGGTGCCGAGCAGGGTACGTGTGGCCGGCCGCGGTGGGGAGGGTGCCGAGCAGGGTACGTGTGGCCGGCCGCGGGGGGAGGGTGCCGAGCAGGGTACGTGTGGCCGGCCGCGGTGGGGAGGGTGCCGAGCAGGGTACGTGGTGGCCGCGGGTGGGGAGGGTGCCGAGCAGGGTACGTGTGGCCGGCCGCGGTGGGGAGGGTGCCGAGCAGGGTACGTGTGGCCGGCCGCGGTGGGGAGGGTGCCGAGCAGGGTACGTGTGGCCGGCCGCGGTGGGGAGGGTGCCGAGCGGGGTACGTGTGGCCGGCCGCGGTGGGGAGGGTGCCGAGCAGGGTACGTGTGGCCGGCCGCGGTGGGGAGGGTGCCGAGCAGGGTACGTGTGGCCGGCCGCGGGGGGAGGGTGCCGAGCAGGGTACGTGTGGCCGGCCGCGGTGGGGAGGGTGCCGAGCAGGGTACGTGTGGCCGGCCGCGGTGGGGAGGGTGCCGAGCAGGGTACGTGTGGCCGGCCGCGGTGGGGAGGGTGCCGAGCAGGGTACGTGTGGCCGGCCGCGGTGGGGAGGGTGCCGAGCGGGGTACGTGTGGCCGGGCCGCGGTGGGGAGGGTGCCGAGCAGGGTACGTGTGGCCGGCCGCGGTGGGGAGGGTGCCGAGCAGGGTACGTGTGGCCGGCCGCGGTGGGGAGGGTGCCGAGCAGGGTACGTGTAGCCGGCCGCGGTGGGGAGGGTGCCGAGCAGGGTACGTGTGGCCGGCCGCGGTGGGGAGGGTGCCGAGCAGGGTAAGTGTGGCCGGCCCGCCGGTGGGAGGGTGCCGAGCGGGGTACGTGTTGGCCGGCCGCGGTGGGGAGGTGCCGAGCAGGGGTACGTGTGGCCGGCCGCGGTGGGAGGGTGCCGAGCGGGGTACGTGTGGCCGGGCCCCGCGGTGGGGAGGGTGCCGAGCAGGGTATGTGTGGCCGGCCGCGGTGGGGAGGGTTGCCGAGCAGGGTACGTGTGGGCCGGCCGCGGTGGGGAGGGTGCCGAGCAGGGTATGTGTGGCCGGCCGCGGTGGGAGGGCGCCGAGCGGGGTACGTGTGACCGGCCGCGGTGGGGAGGGTGCCGAGCGGGGTACGTGTGGCCGGCCGCGGTGGGGAGGGTGCCAAGCAGGGTACGTGTGACCGGCCGCGGTGGGGAGGGTGCCGAGCGGGGTACGTGTGACCGGCCGCGGTGGGGAGGGTGCCAAGCAGGGTACGTGTGGCCGGCCGCGGTGGGGAGGGTGCCGAGCGGGGTACGTGTGACCGGCCGCGGTGGGGAGGGTGCCGAGCAGGGTACGTGTGGCCGGCCGCGGTGGGGAGGGTGCCGAGCGGGGTACGTGTGGCCGGCCGCGGTGGGGAGGGTGCCGAGCAGGGTACGCGTGGCCGGCGCGGTGGTGAGGGGGGGGGGGGGGGGGGGGGGCGTGGTCACAGGACAGCCGTGCTGGGGCGCGCACGTTGGTCGCCTGTCGCTAGTGTTCGGAGTTATATATCTCAAAGCCAACGGCGGGGGGTGCACTAGTGAACTACGGTGAGATATGACCTATATGCGTATATATATATATATATATATATATATATATATATATATATATATAAAGGCCAAAAAAGTGGCGGCGGCGACATATATATATATATATATATATATATATATATATATATATATATATATATATATATGACATGCCCAATATATCTGGCATTATATTGCTTGTCATACGATAGGATTAATTATATATTTAATTTCCTAGTACTTAGCCTGTGAGACCACGGCGACGAATCAAAAAGCGTGCTTCCTTAGCAATGGGGAGACCGTATGTCCGCCACGTAAAGCTATTAGCCATGCTTACATTAAGACGAGGAGAGTTTATGGTGTCGAAATCTGCAGTTGTCAGGGCGCGGCTAACGCACGTGGGAGAAATAGGCGCACTGCATCAGGACACGCCGCCGCCGCTTGTTCAGAGATGACCGGGGACGCCGGCGAGCAGCACCCGTCACACACCGGGGTCGAACGCACCGGGCTGCCTGCACCAGCCACACCGCGCCACGCGCTGCGACCAGCGCAGCCGCCGCTCTGTGTGCTCCGGAACACACTGACCCGGCGGTGCCACAGACGGCTGTGGCGCCGCTGACCTGGCCGCCGGCCGTGTCGCCAGGCCGCCTGCTGCTGGAGCAGCTGCCGGCCGAGGCGGCGCCGCTGACCTGGCCGCTGGCCGTGTCGCCAGGCCGCCTGCTGCTGGAGCAGCCGCCGGCCGAGGCGGCGCCGCTGACCTGGTCGTCGACCGTGTCGCCAGGTCGCCTGCTGCTGGAGCAGCTGCCGGCCGAGACGGTGGCCGACGCTGACGCCGACGAGGCCGGCGAGGGCGGCCTGCCGACCTCGGAGCCGGTGCGCCTGCTGGCCCGCTGGGCGCGGCTGGTGTGCGCCCACTACGGACGGCCGCCGCGCAACCTCAGCGCCGCGTTCGCCGACGGCCGTGCCTTCTGCCTGCTGCTGCACCACTACCAGCCGACGCTGCTGCCGCGGGAGCGCATCGTCAACGCCGGGGAGAGCGCCGACAGGGTAGGTGACGGTCTGGAGGTGGGGTCAGGCCCCAGGAGAGCGCCTCCACGGTTGGAGGAGGAGGCCGGGCGCGGGACCTGCGAGGTCGGGTCGCAGTGAACGCGAGGCAGTTGGTACACGTGCTAGCCCTTGTTCTGTGGCCGCCCTCGCTGAGGGAGTTTAGTGTGACGTTCGCCTAGCGGAGCTAATGTAGGCAAGCACCGGTCAGAACGTCCTTGAGGGCGCAGACTTAGGATGGACATGGCCGTCCTCATCAGCAGCTCAACACTGAAAGCATTTCGTAAAGTAAGCCTGTTCCGGACCCGCCCGCGCGATTCAGGCAGCGGGAATCGCCCACACTGTGCACTCGTGAGCGCCGCCACGGTCCCGCTGACGTCACGTCCGGCGCGCGGCAGGGCTCCGGCTCCGACGGCGACCTCGACGACAGCTTGACGTTCAGCTACAGCAGCCCGGACGGCGCCGAGCAGCAGGAGGCGCGCCGCCAGGCCGACAAGGCCAACCTCACGGCGGCGTTCGTGGCGGTGAGGCTGGCGCAGGCAGGGGCTCAGGGCCGGGTGGCCAGGTGCTTCGCACTGATGGCGGAGAGTGTGTTGGCGCTTACTCGCAGAGGGTACCCTGTGCGTGTTGGGAAAGCCATGGGTGGGCGTGGACCCCGTCACCCCTGTCCCGCCCCGCCCCCGCCCATCGTTAACAGAGCCTTGGTGGCGCTGCCACTTGTGAGGGTGTGTGTTGTGCGCATGTCTGAAAGAGTGATGCGCACGCGTGTGTTGGTCCCCGCGCTGCCACTGACAGGTTGGCGGCCTCCATGCCCAGCCCCCTCCGCCGTGCCGGGCGGCCCGCTGCTGACACGGCCGCTCGGGTCTGCCCCTCTCTCCGGTCAGATGCGCGAGCTGGGCGGTGTGCCGGTGCTGAGCGGCTGGACCGACTACTCCGGCACGCTGCCGGACCGACGGCTGGTGCTGGTCACGCTGGCGCACCTGTGCGGCCGGCTGCTGGAGCTGGGCGCCGAGGTGGCCGCCGCGCGCACGCTGCAGCTGTGCTGGCGCCGCCGCCGGCTGGCCGCCCGCCGCCGCCGCCAACAGGTACGGGACGGCGGCGGCGACCGAAACGGCGCCGAGGCGCGCTGAGGTCTGAGGCGAGGTGTCCAGGTGACGGGTGACGGGTGAGGTGTGGTCAGACGTGGTGTCCAGTTGAGGTGAAGTGTGATGAGGTGAGTTGTCCAGGTGAGGAGGTGAGGTGTGAAGCCACCGAGAGGCGGGGTGGGGAGGCGGGGAAAGAGAGGTGGGGCACGCGGGGGCTTGTTTGAACATGTAAGCTTGTGGGTCAGTGTCGAGACCTTGTAATCAGGGGCTGAGAGGCTGGAGCTTGTATGCGTGTCCTCTTGACACTGTTTTGATGTGACGTCTTAAACCGCCGTGTGCCTGGTGATATGTTAATGGATATATATCTACTTCACTCATTTTAGCTATTGTACGCCTTTACTATCGACAATACACGGACAAGGGTTGCTGAAAGTTTTTTTATCGGCCGGGTTTGTCGACCCACCGGGCTCATTGACCCGCCTGCGGACGTTCCGAGGCTCGTCGGTGGTGGCTGCCGTTGAAAACTATTTGGGTCGGACATCATCTCCCCAGTCATGCCAAAATGCCCAGTCTCAGTCTGTTTTTCCTGTCCCTGCTGGGGACGCACGTCAGGCTTTCTCGGCGCGCCAGCCTTACCACAGGCTGGGACCTGCCTGGCGCCGCAGCACCTGCCTTACCGCAGGCTGGGACCTGCCTGGCGCCACGGCACCAGCCTTACCACAGGCTGGGACCTGCCTGGCGCCACAGCACCAGCCTTACCGCAGGCTGGGACCTGCCTGGCGCCGCAGCACCTGCCTTACCGCAGGCTGGGACCTGCCTGGCGCCACGGCAGAGGTCTGGACTAGTTTCCACGTCACTTGGCCTCGACTTCGGGCGCGCAGCTACCAGGGGCGGGAGGGTCAGCAGCAGCCGGCTGACGCCTCGCTTATCTGCGGCGAGGGGTGACGGGGTCAGGGACACGAGCACCGCCGGGGGCGTCCGAAAACTGAGTCACGTCACGTGACCCGACGCCAGACTGCCCTGAGGTGCGGGCGGCCGCGACGATGTCCCTCACGGGCTACCTGACAGGCTCCACTAAGGCTCCCGACCATGGTCACCAGCATATATGTAGCACAGGGTTACTAAGTAAAGTAGGTACAAAAGCGCAAACAACAAGTACAAACATCTCACCAAGCGCGAAACGGTACGCCAGATATATATATATATATATATATATATATATATATATATATATATATATATATATATATATCTGGCCCAGGTATTTAAGAGTCAAGAAGTTAAGGCGCTCGGATCCATATGGAACGCTTGCGTTTCTCGGCCAGTGGAGGTTCCGCAATGCTTGTTTATCTCTCTCATCGCAACTGTCGCCGGCTGCGAGCCACTTTGTGACGTCACAGTCCCTGCTTTCCTGTGCCGGCCGTCTGACATGCCACGCCTGGTGGCCGCACGTCAGACGGCCGGCACGGAAAAGCAGGGGGTCGCGACCGTGACCTCTGACCGGCGCTCTCACCCTCTGCCGGCAGGCCGAGGCGCGCGCCGCCATCGTTCTGCAGAGTCACGCGCGCCGCTGGCTGGCCGGCCGGCGGGCGGCCGCGCGCCGCCGCCAGGTGCTGCTCGTGCAGGCGGCGGTGCGCGGCTGGCTGGCGCGCCGGCAGATGGCGCGCCGCTCCGCCGCCGCCACCGTTCTGGCGCGCCGCTTTCGCGCGCTGCTGCTGGCGCGAAGAGAGCACGCGCGGCTGGAGGGGCGGCGCGCCGCCGCGCGGCTGCTGCAGCGACTTTGGCGCCGCCTCACACTGCGGCGCCGCTGCCGCCACCTGGCGACGCTGCTGCGAAGGGCGATGGCGGCGGAACGGCTCCAGCGGTGGTTCCGGGGGCTGCGTGACAGAAGGGAGGAGGAGCTGTGCTTCCTGACCAAGAGGAGGGCCGTCGTCACCATACAGACCTGGTACAGATCGCTGGTCGCCACCAGGAAGACTCGCGAGGAGTATCTGAGACAGAAGGAAGCTGCCCGAGCGGTTCAAACATGGTACCGGTCACTGCTCGCCACGAGGAAGACACGCGAGGAGTATCTGAGACAGAAAGAAGCTGTCATAATACTCCAGACCTGGTACCGATCACTGATTGTTACAAGAACCACTCGTGTTGAGTATCTGAGACAGAAGGAAGCCGCCCGAGTGGTTCAAACATGGTACCGGTCACTGATCGCCACCAGGAAGACTCGCGACGAATATCTGAGGCAGAAGGAAGCTGTTATTATACTCCAGACCTGGTGCCGATCATTGATTGCTACAAGAACCACTCGTGTTGAGTATCTGAGAGAGAAGGAAGCTGCCCGAACGGTTCAAACATGGTACCGGTCACTGATCGCCACCAGGAAGACTCGCGACGAATATCTGAGGCAGAAGGAAGCTGTTATGATACTCCAGACCTGGTGCCGATCATTGATTGCTACAAGAACCACTCGTGTTGAGTATCTGAGACAGAAGGAAGCTGCCCGAACGGTTCAAACATGGTACCGGTCACTGATCGCCACCAGGAAGACTCGCGACGAATATCTGAGACAGAAGGAAGCTGCCCGAGTGGTTCAAACATGGTTCCAGTCACTGGTAATCACGAGGAAGACCCGCGAGGAGTATCTGGAACAGATTGAAGCTGCCCGAGCGGTCCAAAGATGGTACCGGTCACTGATCGCCACGAGGAAGACACGCGAGGAGTATCTGAGACAGAAGGAAGCTGTTATAGTACTCCAGACCTGGTACCGATCACTGATTGTTACAAGAACCACTCGTGTCGAGTATCTGAGACAGAAGGAAGCTGCCCAAACAGTTCAGACATGGTACCGGTCACTGATCGCCACGATGAAGACACGCGAGAAGTATCTCGGACAGAAGGAGGCGGTTGTGATACTCCAGACCTGGTACCGATCACTGATTGTTACAAGAACCACTCGTGTTGAGTATCTGAGACAGAAGGAAGCTACCCGAACGGTGCAAACATGGTACCGGTCACTGATCGCCACCAGGAAGACTCGCGACGAATATCTGAGACAGAAGGAAGCTGCCCGAGTGGTTCAAACATGGTTCCAGTCACTGGTAATCACGAGGAAGACCCGCGAGGAGTATCTGGGACAGATTGAAGCTGCCCGAGCGGTCCAAAGATGGTATCGGTCACTGATCGCCACGAGAAAGACTCGCGAGGAGTATCTGAGGCAGAAGGAGGCTGTTATGATACTCCAGACCTGGTACCGATCACTGATTGTTACAAGAACCACTCGTATTGAGTATCTGAGACAGAAGGAAGCTGCCCAAACAGTTCAAACATGGTACCGGTCACTGATCGCCACGAGGAAGACACGCGAGAAGTATCTCGGACAGAAGGAGGCTGTTGTGATACTCCAGACCTGGTACCGATCACTGATTGTTACCAGAACCACTCGTGTTGAGTATCTGAGACAGAAGGAAGCTACCCGAACGGTGCAAACATGGTACCGGTCACTGATCGCCACCAGGAAGACTCGCGACGAATATCTGAGACAGAAGGAAGCTGCCCGAATGGTTCAAACATGGTTCCGGTCACTGATCACCACGAGGAAAACTCGCGAGGAGTATCTGAGACAGAGGGAGGCTGCCCGAGCGGTTCAAACATGGTTCCGGTCACTGATCGTCACGAGGAAGACACGCGAGGAGTATCTGAGACAGAAGGAAGCTGTTATGATACTCCAGACCTGGTACCGATCACTGATTGTTACAAGAACCACTCGTGTCGAGTATCTGAGACAGAAGGAAGCTGCCCGAGCGGTTCAAACATGGTACCGGTCACTGATCGCCACGAGGAAGACACGCGAGGAGTATCTCGGACAGAAGGAGGCTGTTATGATACTCCAGACCTGGTATCGATCACTGATTGTTACCAGAACCATTCGTGTTGAGTATCTGAGACAAAAGGAAGCTGCCCGAACGGTTCAAAGATGGTACCGGTCACTGATCGCCACGAGAAAGACACGCGAGGAGTATCTGAGACAGAAGGAAGCTGCCCGAGTGGTTCAAACATGGTACCGATCACTGATCGCTACAAGGAAGACTCGTGAGGAGTATCTGAGCCAGAAGGAAGCTGCTCGAACGATTCAAACATGGTACCGGTCACTGGTCGCCACGAGGAAGACGCGGGAGAAGTATCTTGGACAGAAGGGGGCTGTTATAATGCTCCAAACCTGGTACCGATCACTGATCTCCGCGAGGAGGACTCGCGAGGACTGCTGGAGACAGAAGAGAGCTGCAGTGACTGTGCAGACCTGGTATCGCTCCGTCCTCGCCATGAGGAAGGCTCGTGACAACTTGGTACGAATGAAGCTATCTGCCGTCACCATCCAAACGTGGTACCGTGGTGTCCTCGCCATGAGGAGCACTCGTGAGGACTACCGGAAGCTGCTGAGGACAGCAGTAGCAGTCCAGAGGAAGTACCGCTCGCTCGTCGTCATGAGGGGGGCCCGTCGGGAATACCTGAGTCAGAGAGGAGCTGTGATAACCATTCCAGAAGTGGTATTGCTCTGTGCTCACCGTGAGGAAGGTTCGTGAGGACTATGTGAAACAGAGGTTTGCTGCGCGGACCGTCCAAGAGTGGTATCGCTCTCTCCTCGCCATGAGGACGACTCGCGAAGACTACCTGAGACGGAAGGCAGCTGCGGTGGTGATTCAGACGTGCTATCGCTCCTTCCTCATCATGAGGACGACTCGTGACGGCTTAGTGAAAGTGAAGCTGTCTGCGGTCACCATCCAGACGTGGTACCGCTCTGTGCGCATCATGCGGATGGCTCGCGAGGAGTTCCTGAGGCTGAGGTGGGCCACCCTGTCGATCCAGACCTGGCGCCGCTCCGCCGTCACCGCCAGGAGGACGCGCCAGCAGTTTGTGGCGCTGAAGCGGGCCGTGATAACCATCCAGACGCGACGTCGCGCGCTGCTCGCCTCGCGCCGGGCCCGCGAGTCCTTCCTGAGGCAGCGGGACGCCGCGCGGACCCTCCAGTCCTGGTACCGCGCGCTGCTCTTCATGCGCGGCGATCACGTGGTGCAGTGCGCCACGCGCCGCACCTCAGGCCTGCTGCAGGTGGAGCCGCGCCGCGCCGACGCCGGCCGGTCGCCGGAGTCGCGGCCGAGGCGCGCTACCATCACCCTGCAGAGGGACTGGCGCTGGCGGCCGAGCGAGCGGCGCCAGGCGGCGGCGCGCACGCTGCAGCGCTGGTGGCGCCGCCGCCGGCAGGAGGAGCAGCGCCGCCGCCTGTCCGCCCTGCTCGTCATGCAGGTACCGGCGGCGTTGGAACGGGGGGGGGGGGGGGGGGATTTTCAGGCGTGCCGGTAGCTGACGTGTGTGTCTGGACCTTTCCTAAGCCCACTCACATGCTTACTGATGTATTGGTCAGTGACGTGCTCGGCAGTTCGCCGAGCTCGGTGGACAGTTAGACGGGTGGGCGCAGAGCACCGACTCCAAACCCCCTATGCGTATACCTGGGCCACAAGCCGGAGATCCTGACCCGGAGCTGAAGTCGTGCTCGCGCGGGGCTCTGTGGGGCTCCAACACATTCTTGGTGGATATGCAGGTACCGCAGGGATTTGGGCTTGTAGGAGATGCCCTTTCGTGCAGACGGGCGAAAGGTGAGGGTCGGGTTTTTTTTAGCGGTTTTGGGATTCAGAAGGTACATGGTCGATGGGTAATGAACGAAACGGATGTAGGCCAAATGTCAGTTGTCCAGCATTGTTTTGGTCACGGACGTAACTAGGGCCTTGGACGTAACGACTTAAAATCCACTTTTCTTTTATAAGATAGAGGTTAACGTGCCGTAGTGCTCGGCGACACCTTCCGCACGTCAGGGGCAAATAGCGTTCGCCCAAAGTGACTTGAACCCGGCCCGCCACGGTTAGGTGGGGCGGAACATGGGAGCTATAACCAACGGGGCTACCGGAGCGGACTCCCCCCCCCCCCCCAAGTTAATGGTGTAATTCAAACTGTGAAGGAAAATGCATCCAGTCAAGGCAGGTGAGAAGGCATGCGAATTTTCTGTGAATATTAGGTAGCCAGCCGTCTTGAACTTCAATACCAAGCCGCCACCTCTGATGACTAACATCACCTCTGGTGAATGATGTTACCACTGATGACTGATGTCACCACTGATGACCGACGTCACCACTGATGACTGACGTCACCACTGATGACCGACGTCACCACTGATGAATGACGTCATCACTGATGACTGACCCCTGCAGCGGAGACCATCGTCCGGTCGTCTGCCGGCCCGGCGTGGGACCACGCACATCACGCGGCCAAATCCGAGTCTGAACGTCGCCGATCACGAATCCGTCGTCGGGGATCAGTGTCCGCTCCTGGCGACCCGCCGGGGCCGGGGCGGCGGGCAGGATGTACCGATGAGCCTACATGTGCTCACGTGCAAGTGGCAGTTTTGTACCGCGCCTCCCCGTCGCCCTCAGTGGCCCCGAGTGGCCCACGTGTGCGCTGTGGGTCCCTGTACCCCCGGCGTGTGCCGGACCGTGGCGGTGTCCCTGCACCCTCGGCGTGTGCCGGACGGTCGCAGTGTCCTTGCACCCTCGGCGTGTGCCGGACGGTCGCAGTGTCCCTGCACCCTCGGCGTGTGCCGGACGGTCGCAGTGTCCCTGCACCCCCGGCGTGTGCCGGACTGTCGCGGTGTCCCTGCACCCTCGGCGTGTGCCGGACGGTCGCAGTGTCCCTGCACCCTCGGCGTGTGCCGGACTGTCGCGGTGTCCCTGCACCCTCGGCGTGTGCCGGACTGTCAGCGGTGTCCCTGCACCCTCGGCGTGTGCCGGACGGTCGCGGTGTCCCTGCACCCCCGGCGTGTGCCGGACGGTCGCAGTGTCCCTGCACCCCCGCCCCCGCCGCTGACCCCGCCGCCGCACCCACAGCGCGCCGTCCGCCGCTGGCTGTGCGGCCGCCGCCAGCAGCGGCGCCAGGTGGCCGCCCTGCTGCTGCAGACACGCGTGCGTCGCTGGCTGGCCGAGCGCCGCGCGCGCCGCCGGCTGCGAGCTGTCGTCACGCTGCAGGTGAGGGAGCTGCGGCCCGGCCCAGGTGGCGCATGAGTGCTGAACGACACCGGCGGTGCACTGGTGGGCGAGACGGCCGGCGCAGACTGACCGGCTGCCGATCAGATGTCACGTGTCAACCAAAACAGGCCCGCACCATCATACATCATGTATGCCATGGTCTGTCACCCATCCCGGCATTCGTCAGCCATCTGTGCGTGTAGCCAGGGGCCAGTCTTGTGGCCAGAACGCGCTTCGACCACACAGCCGTCCTGTACCAGGGATGCCCCGTAAATATCCTGTGCGTCTTTCAGTCCCTTCCATCGCATTGTCTGGCTGAGGTTGGCGCGAACGCCTGCTCTAACTTGCATTTGCGTAGAATGATGCCACAGTGGCCGCGCGGTCGCGTGTCACGTTGGTTTGCGAATCTACACCAGCCTGATGCGCTCAAACGAGGCATCAACGCGTCTGAACAACGCGCACATCAGTTTGTGTTAACACGTACTGTATTAGTTGCTGTATCAGTTGCTGTATCAGTTGCTGTATCAGTTGCTGTACCAGTTGCTGTATCAGCTGTTGTATCAGCGACGCAACGCCTGTCCGCCGGCGCGCCCCTCAGCGCCCTCTGACGCAGTGTCTCCCTCCCCTCCCGGCAGGCGGCGTGGCGCGGAGTGCTGGCGCGCCGCGCCGCCGGCCGGCCGGCCGCGCGCGCCCGCCGCCGCCTGACGGCCGCCGGCCGGGCCGCCACCGCCGCGTGCACGTTGGCCGGCCGCACGTGCGAGTCGCTGGCCTTCCTGCTGCGCTGTGCCGACATGGGCCGGCTGCTGCTGGCGCTGCAGCACCTGGAGACAACCACGCGGCTGTCGGCCGCCTGCAGCCGGCTAGTGGCGCAGGAGCACGCCGTGCCGGTGCTGTACACGCTGATTCGGCAGTGTAACCGCTCCGTGCCGCACATCACGGCCGTGGAGCTCTGTCTGAGCGTGCTGCTCAACCTGGCCCGGCACCCGGACACGGCCGACGCCGTCCACCAGGTGAGGGACGCCGGGAGGCACCAGGACCAGCGACGCCGTCACCGGTGGGGGCGAGGCCGGGCACCCGGACACGGCCGACGCCGTCCACCAGATGAGGGCGGCGGCCGGGGGCACCAGGACACAGCCGACGCCGTCCACCAGGTGAGGGCGGGCGGCCGGGGGCACCCGGACACGGCCGACGCCGGCCACAGATGGGGCACCGCGACCACAGCCGACGCCGTCCACAGGGAGGGGGCACGGGGCACCGACAGGCGACGCATCCCCAGGGAGGCGGGCGGACGGCCGGGGGCTCCCGGACACGGCCGACGCCGTCCACCAGATGAGGGCGGGCGGCCGGGGCACCGGGCGGCCTCCACAGGTGAGGGCGGGCGGCCGGGGGACCGACACGGCCGACGCCGTCCACCAGTGAGGCGGGGCGGGGCCCCGGACCGGCGGCCGTCACCAGGCAGGCGGCGGCCGGGCACCAGACCAGCCGACGCCGCACACCAGGCGAGGGCGGCCGGACGGCGGCGGCCGGAGCACCTGACTCAATGCCTGGGAATGAGACATAACACATAGCCAGGGCAGCGGACGCGCCCTCAAAGCTCAATAAATAACTTCACGATGTTAACTATGGCGTTGCGCGGAAGGCCACGACGGGCGCAAAGAGGTGGAGGGGGGGGGGGGGGGGGGGGGTCGAGTGACCGATGGCTGAGTGGTTAACGCATCGGACTCCCACGTGGGGGACCCAGGTTCGAGTCTCGGTGGCACCGTGACCCCTGAGCGCTAATGCGGTCAACGCAGTGGGTGCCAGTCGCCACACGGCCCCGGCCTCGCGTCGGGAGCAGTGGGCTCCGCTGGAGCTGACGCCCGGCTGCGGCGTGCCCTCAGGTGGACAACTGGCTGATGACGCTGCTCGACAAGATGGCCGTCTTCCGCGAGAAGGGGCCGGGCATTGTGACGCGCGCCGGCTCGCTGCTGGTCTCCATCGTCCAGAGCCCGTCGCTGGCGCAGGTACGGCCGGCTGTGTGCGTGTGTAGCTGGGCTGGTCTCCCTGCTGGTGATCCCTGATCTCGTGAGTGTTGATGATTCCTGATGCGATGACTGTAGCGTGACTGTGTGGGGCTATGTGGGCACCCCGACCTCCGTATGGCTTGCCTCGACAATATAACCTGTGTGCGTCGTGTCTCTATGTGACCTCCGTCTACCCTGTGACCTCCGTCTGCCGTGTGACCTCCACCTACCCTGCGACCTCAGTCTACCGTGTGACCTCCGTCTACCCTGTGACCTCAGTCTGCCGTGTGACCTCCGTCTGCCGTATGACCTCCGTCCGCCGCGTGACCTCCGTCCGCCGTGTGACCTCGGTCTGCCATGTGACCGTCTGCCGTATGACCTCGGCCTGCTGTGTGACCTCGGCCTGCCGTGTGACCTCCGTCTGCCTTATGACCTCGGTCTGCCGTGTGACCTCCGTCTGCCATGTGACCTCCGTCTTCCGTGTGACCTCCGTCCGCCGCGTGACCTCCGTCTGTCACGGTGACCTTCGCCTGCCGTGTTGACCTGTGTGGCCCCTGACCACCCCAGATGGTGCGGGACGATGCCAAAGCCGTGCAGCAGCTCCGCTCCCTGCGCGCGCTGATGGTGCGGAGGCAGCAGCCGCAGCAGCGGTGGCGCGCCGGCGGCAAGCCGCCGCCGCGGGCGCCGCCCGGCCCGCTTCACCTCGGTCGCCGCCGGGTGGCGCTGTTCGCCGGCCCCCTGGCCGCCGTCGACGGCGTGCTGGCGGCGCTCGACCTGCCGCCGCAGTGAGCCGGCCGCGCCGGGGCCGCCCCGGGGCTGGGGTTTGACTGGGCCCGCCGAGTGACTGAGCGGGCCGGTGCCTAGGAACGCGTCGCCTGCACAGCCTCGTAGGCCTGCCCCCGGTGCCGGCGGCGCTTGTGGAGGCGGAGCCGCTTGCGGGACCCCAGAGGCCTGCCGCCTGCTGGACTGCTGAGAGGCTGCGCTGGCGGTGCGCCGCCGCAGTGACATGTATCGCTCTAACGCTCTCCGGTGGCCGGCGGTGGCCCGCCGCTGCCGCCGCCGCCGGCCGCCGCCTTGTACGCCTGTCCTAACCGTTCGCGCATGCCTATTTTAACCAGCGCACAGTGACCTGCGAATAAAGCCGAGTTTGTGCGAGCGGCTGTCTGCAAGACGGGGGGAGAGTGCATCGCCTTTGTTGCCCATGCCGCGCCGGCTGGAGCGGCATGTGATCGGCGTACGCAGTTGGCGCGCGGCCCTGCGGCACAGCGGACTGGCTTCTGGGAAAGACGGGGCCACGTCGATGGCAGCGGTGAGACACCGCGCCGGCCGCGGCACAGCCGCTCCTGCCAGCCCGGCGTGACGTCATGATCCGCCCCTGCCGGTCCCGTGTGACGTCATGATCCACCCCTGCTGGTCCGGTGTGACGCCATGATCCGTTCCTGCCGGCCCGGTGTGACGTCATGATCCGCCCCTGCCGACCCCGTGTGGCGTCACGATCTACCCCTGCTGGTCCGGTGTGGTGTCATGATCCACTTCTGCCGGCCACGTGTGACGTCATGATCCGCTTCTGCCGGCCCAGTGTGATGTCACGCTCGGTGTTGGACAGGGAAGGCGTTCATATTGTCCAAGGTACAGAATGTCCAAGGTACAGAATGTCCAAAGTTCATAATGTCCAAGGTACACAATGTCCAAGATAAGAAATAACTTCCAAAATGGCGCAGAGTGGAAAGGGCCCGTTTCATAATGCCCAATGTACAGAATGTCCAAGGTACAGAATGTCCAATGTACGTATCGTCCAAGGCACAGAATGTCCAAGAACCAGAGCTTCCAAAACAGTTCCTGAAGCGGCCGCCTGGGTGTGAATAATCACCCTTATTGGTAGGCAATGTTGCTCCGCCCAGCGTCGGCCGCGTGCATACAGTCGACGCCAGTACGAACACTACAAGCATGCAGCCGGGGGTCAGATAGCAACGGATTCATTTCCCACGCCGGTGCAGAGATGGTGCCGGATGCCGTTGGTCGGCGAGGCAGCGCTCGTCTTGCAAGTAATTGTTGAGTACGAGACGAGTACCGTGGAGTGGGGCGTTGGACACGCGCGGAGCTGCTGCGAAAGCGTCGCAGCGTCGCCCTTAGCCGGCATGGAACTTGTTCTGTGTCTGACCGGCCTCTTGTTGCAACTGTTGTTTATTCTAAGTGATCGCTGCAATTATCATCGTTTTCACCACAATTAGTCTACAGCGTCCAAAGGAGTAAACCTTGCAAGAAAGGGGAAAGTATGGGTACCAATAATTTATGCTTCCTATTGGCTTAATAGCCTGTTTCTGATCATTTATCATTGACATCTAGGTCAAAGGTGTAGCATGTTACAAAGCACGCTACATTACAAATCATAGGATATGGTTCAATGAATAGCCATTTGTGATCCACGTACCGCACATGATGCCATTTAGATCAATTATCTGGTGCACCAACAGATTGGTGGAGACTTTTCATCGATGTGGGTTCCCCATTTATTGGGTCTGTCAGGGGCGGCGCCATGAGATGGGGAAAGGCTTTTCCAGACGACTTCCTGAACAGCACGCGGTCTCCTTTAGAGGTGGGGGGGGGGGGGGGGGTGGAGGGGGGTCCAGGTCTGGCCTTTTGAAGTGGGCACCGAGGCATGTGAGTCCTCATTTAAGTGGACCATGCATTAATATTCATGTAAATCAATTTCGACAATAAAAATTCAGAATAGGGGAGTGCGTAAATGTTAAACTGTGTTTAAGTCTAGCTTCAGCTGCGTAGACGTAACACCGGTCAAGTCGTGAACTAATGACCCTGAATGGGGGCCAAGCACATCAAAATAGTCCAAGTTTTCAAAACGTGGCTGTTGTCCTCTACGCTGTCCATTCATTCCCCCGAGCCAGTAACTCACAAAGCAACGAAGCAGTTTCGCCGTTGACGAAGCAGCAACGGTGAGCTTGTCTCCCGAGCTGGGAAAGATGAGGGTCAGAAAAATTTGTTCGGAAGGCTTAATACCCGGAATAGCTATACGTGGAATACTCACACTCGGATTGCTCACGCTCAGGAGACTTCGGAATAACCTTCTACTCCCCCGGATGAGACCCTAAAAGGAAATGGGGCAAATGGCGAATGTTGAGCGCTGAGGGCGAATAACAGGGGGACTCAAACCTACCTGCACTGTCACATGTGGGCTGGACAGCACGCACTAACTGATTGAGCTATGGCGGTGTCTCTGCTACTAAAAGTCCCACCAGTCCAATAGCAGGCACTGATTAACAAGTTATGAGATCCCGCCGGGCTGAAAGGTGGCTGTGCTTAGTTTCATATATCTAGGAAGTTAGTTTGTAAAGTGGGAGAAATCTGAGGACAACTTCGTTTTTTGGGATATGCTCGCCCTACAAGGGAAGTCGGTGATACCGCCTCTGTTCATCGCATGAGAGCAAACCCAGAAATTCATCACTCGTTAAAAGAAAAAGGCAACGCTTACGCGTGTGTTAACCGTTAATGTTTACAACGGTACCGTAACACACACACACACACACACACACACACACACCACACACACACACACACACACACACACACACACACACACACACACACACACGCACACGCACACGCACACGCACACGCACACGCACACGCACACGCGCACGCGCACACGCAGACGCATACGCATACGCATACACATACACATACACATACACATACACATACACATACACATACACATACACATACACATACACATACACATACACATACACATACACATACACATACACATACACATACACATACACATACACATACACACATGCACGCGCGCACGCACGATTTTTTCTCAATTGTTACAAATATATGCCAAAACACAGGTACGTCAGTATACCGGGAGACTCTTGGCTACGCCAAGATCCTATGCCAATATTTCCAAAATACTATGATAAATCAGCTGTTCCAGGTAGTACACGTGGTCACCTGTGAATAAGTTAACGGATAACGCGCCACTCAAAAGGCCTGTGAAAGGTCACAACCGTTGCAAATCTGTGCAGATCCTGACAAGAAAAAGCACTAAAATAATCAAGCATGCAAGCTTCTATATCCTAATGTTAGACACACGGCACTATGATATGGTTTGCACGATACATCGATGGCTAGTACGGAAGGTTTCAATGGACTGTACCACAGATCAAGAAGCAATTCGCTACTGGAAATCAGTGTCCAAGTGAATCAGTAGACAAGTATTGCTGAACGTACCTTACCTGAACAACAGCGCAAACAATCAGTATTTCACGATGGTGCCTGCGAGTTTATCCTCTGTCAAAGCTTACCGATACGCAGCGATTCTTATATCCTTGGTCCGCGTTGTCTTATGCCGTTGCTGAAATCTGCACCTAAAAGCTTAAGTGTGTTATAATGTGTGCCATTGGTGCATGTATGTCGACTACTTCCTCCCCTAATTGTGAGCGTACGGTCTCCGTAGACATGTGTCTCCAGGTGTTCATTAAACAAGCCTGAGTGCCATGCATTATTCTTGATGATGATGATGATTTGGGGATTTAGGGCGCATCGACTGCTAAAGGTCATGCAGCGCCCATAACTATCGATTCATGCAGAGCCGTCAATCAGAGAAGTGCATCAATCAGGTCACCCTATAGAGCCATGATGATCGGCCCTAGCATCATGATGAGAAGATTACAGGAAAATCTATAGCGCGAAGGAACTGGAGCACTTTACCAAACCCGACGATGTTCGAAGAATCCCCTAAAAAGTCGCATAGCGTGCGACTCTGGACGTGGCGTCCGAAAAACTGCGCTCTCGTTGCCGTAAGGTGGCGGCAAGCGACCAGTACGTGATGCACGGTCAGTGGATCAGAGCATCGACCGCAGCATGGTCTGTCGCCAGCCAATAGCAGGTGACGGTGCGTAGCATATGTGTGACCTATGCGTAACCGGCAAAGGGCAACTTCTTCCACCCTATTGTCCCGAAAGCACGACTGCCATAATCCAATGCGGGGTTTCACCGACTGCAGCTTGTTGGCGCTCAGCGAGTTCCAGTAGAACTGCCATCGCTTCTGCATAAACAGCGACACTGCGGGGTACATGTCTTGAGCAGGTAGTGGTGTTATAGGAATTCTAGTCCCTGTCGTAGCGCGCTTTGCTGCCGCGTCAGCAAGATCATTTCCGCATATCCCCACGTGACTTGGGATCCAGCATAGAACGACCGTTTTTCCTGCTCGATCCAGTGAGCTAAGACGAGATTGAATGTCCTGAACAAGTGGATTCGACGGGGAGAAGCCGCTAACAGCCAGCAGGCTGCTCAAGGAGTCGGAAAGAATTAAATGCAGATTGCTATCGTCCACTTCAATAAAACAGAGAGCTTTGCTAATGGCTATAAGCTCGGAAGTGTAGACCGACGCGTGTGAAGGCAGTGTGAATGACCGTGTGGTCGATCCGCACACAAAAGCGCACCCTACCCCTGCATCCGTCTTCGAACCATCTGTATAAGTCATCTTGTACCCGTCAAAGGAGGCCATGTGCTCTAAAGCTGCGCCTTCGAGTTCCGCCATGAGGATATGTTGCTTTTGCATATCTGATAGAGAGACATCCACTCTTGGCGATGCTAGCTCCCAAGGAGCAGTCTCCAT